TGTGAAAACTTCCAGCTCAAAATGTGCAAATAAAACTTTGGATGTCATTGCTGCACGTGGGGCCAGTTTGTGTATTTAGAAAAGGGGTTCTGGGAATATATTCTCAGAAAGTGACTTTACACTTTAGGAAATTATCTTATTTCTAACCTTCCAAAGGAAATCATTAGGAACGAAAATAGCACCTTTGCAGTAAGTGACTGCCCTGTGAGTCCATCTCCCACTCTGCACTTATTACGAATGAGCCTGTCCCAGAGCCTAATAATTGGGGGTCGGTGGGAATATGGATGTTCCACACCATGTAGATTGACTATTGACTTTCAATTAATAACAGTGTCTTGCATTTATAGAGTTACCATCTCCAAGGAAAACCAAGCTTGATGAATTCCAATTTGTCTTCATCCTATCCTGCTGAGTGTAGAGATTAGGAGTTCCAACTGCATTTTAAAGAGGAAAAATTGAACCAGAAAAGTTCAATCACGGGCCACAGAGATTTCAGGAAGCTCCTAATAGAATCATCAATTGCGATCCGATAGTCTTGCTTCTAATTCTGTTTCCCAAAATTACCTGGCCAGTTGGGTCAACTCTGATTTATTCCTTTGGGAATAAGTGGTCAAAATCGCTATTTGAAATTTCTCTCATTGAGGAATTTAAAATGTCTCTTTATTTTGGTGGCATATATCATCCGCTTTAAGACCTTTTAATAAACCACAGAATTTGGCGGGGTGTTAGGAGTGGTGGCACCCAATGGTGTTCAGGGCTTACTTCTGGTTTTGTGCTCAGGAATCTTTGCAAGGACTCTCAGTTGACCATATGTGGTGCTGAAGATTGAACTGGGTTGGCAGTTGCAAAGCAATCACCCTACCCACTGTTCTATCTCTACCCCAAATTAGCGCCTTTGATAATGTATTTGGAATGCAGTTGAATACATGTGTCAAAGCTTATCTCTTGACAGAGAAGAAGGAAGGGTACCTTCAGCTCTGATCTGGTGTTGCTTTAGCTGGGAAAAAACCAAAAACATCATTTCTACCCCCAAACAGCATGTTCAGACCCTTTTTTTGTTGTAACTGTGGGAGAGCTACTGCCAGCCTCTCACAATCACACATTCCTCAGGTCTAAAAAATATGGAACTCTGACTTTTCCCTTTTTGAAAACGCAGTTTCAACCTGGTTTCTGTTTTCTCCAAGCCTCCTTATTTGTCTCCTGCAGGGATTGTCTATCCTCCACCTTAGATTAGTTCTAATAATCTGTTAAACACTCATATCCCCACCAACCATGTGTCTATATTTATAGTAGTCTTAATACATATGGACTTTTTAAATTTGTTTTTTGAGCCATACCCAGCAGTGCTCAGGGGTTAGTATTGGCTCTTTGCTTAGGGATCACTCCTGGCAGGACTTAGGGAACCATATGGGGTGCCAGGGATAGAATCCTACTCAACCGTGTACAAGTCAAGTGCCCTCTCCAATGTACTATTGTGATGGCCCCAATATGTGTGTTTGTGATGGACTTGGTGACCACACTTCATTACCATCGAAGTGTCCAACCCACTACCAGTGTCTTTATGTTACATTCAGTCCATCTCCCCCACCCCCCCACCCCTTCATCCACCCTCACACCACCTTCTGATATGTGGCATCTTTTTAACTTCCAACCATTTCTTTCCATCACTTTTATTTGTTTAATGTGACTTTCATTATTGGCTAATTTTTTTGAGGCATTGTGTTCGGGGCTGTGTGTCCAGGAGAGACCCTTCATGGTGCTCAGGAGAGACCATACATGGTGCTGAGGATCGAACCAGGATTGTGGACCAAACAGCTACATGCAAGGAAGTGATTTACTTCCTGTATGATCTCTCTGACCCCTTGACTTTATTTTTAATAAACTTTATTGAGGTAACATGAGGTTGTTTACAAGCCTGTAGATGTTCTAGGGCTCTAGTGTCAAACCTCTTCAGATAGGTGTTACGGTAGCAGCCCCACCCCATCCACCACCCCTGCCACCATTTCACTCCCTCCCTCCTCTGTGGTATACTCAGCTCTTTGGGGAGTCCAACGACTTATTTTCCTTTGACTTTTCCCTTGCTTTGTTTCCTTATATCACACCATGACATGTATGAGTGAGATCACTTCCTGGTGTTTTTTTTTTTTTTGCTCCTGACATTTTCTCTTAGAAAATTTTTTTCAGGGCCTGAGGAGATAGTATAGCAGGCTTTTGTCTTGCATGTGGCCAACTCAAGTTCAATTCCCAGTATCCCATATGGTCCCCTAAGCACCACCAGGAGTGATTTCTGAGTGCAGAGCCAGAGTTCCTGAGCATCACCAGGTGTGGTCTAAAAAAATTTTTTTTAAATACCTTCAGTTCCATCCATATTGTCTCAAAAGAAGATTTGAATTTGTATCTTGCCCAAGTGCTTCTTCCACCATCTATACAGACCACAATTTCTTTACCCATTGATCTATTGGGGGTGTTACGGTTGTTTGCAGATATTGACTGCTGTACATTGTATTGCAGTGAACATAGAAGTTCATGACTTTTCATATTTGTCTTCTAGATTCTAGGATCTACTTTTGTTTCATTGCTACAGTCCCCTCTAAATTCAAACATTACAATTTATCCATTATCTTCAGAATGGGCATTGACACTGTGTTTTTTTTTCCTCCTGAGTTCAAACACTTATGATGTCCACTTATGATGGACTTGATGAGCTGGGTCAACGACCAAGCTGGGTTGTTGGGTTTTGGTGTTTGAGGTTTGGTTCGGAGGGGGGGGGGGGCACACCTCTCAGTGTTCAGAATGTGTTCCTGCTCAGAGATCACTCCTGGAAGTTCTCAGGGGACCAAATGTGGTGATGGGAATCAGATCACATGCACCATGTCTGCCATATTATCTCCTCAGCCCTGCAATGAGTATTTCTGAAGATATTTTCTAATTCACATGTATGAGTTTCTAGGGCATATACTCAAGGTCAGTGCTAAAAGGCAAGATCTGCTTGTTTTATTTTATTTTATTTTTTTTAATGTTGGAGTACTGCTATTTATTAAGCCACTGATTAGGCTGATTGAATTGGGCATGAACTCCACCTTACCTTTTTTTTTTCATTTTTTATGATTTTATTTATTGAATCACCATGAGAGCAGTTGCAAAGCTTTAGGGTCTAAGTATCAGTCATACAATGAAACATCGGTACCTTCACCGGTGTCCATTCTCCACCAGCAAAACCCCCAGTATACCTCCATCCCACACCCTCCCCCTACCTGTGGGGCAGATGATTTCCACATTACTCTCTCTCGACTTTGATTACATTCAATATTTCATCACCAGACCCACCAAAATTATTTGGGATTTTACCCAAACACTCAAGATCTGCTTATTTTAAAATTTATTATTAACAAGTTATTGTAAGCGTCTCTCTCACAGTGATTCAACAAAAAAATCTTAGAAAAAAGAAGAAATCTACTTAGTGAAATGTGAGAAGAGGAAAGGGTGTGTGTGTGTGTGAGAGAGAGAGGGAGTGGAGAAAGAGGTGTGGGAGAGAAGAGATGTTCAAGAAGGAACATGGGCTTCTCCAGAGTGGAAATAGCCAAAAACAAGTGAAGTCTAACTAAAAATAAAACCTTATTATGTCTGTATATTCTCTTTGTTTGCAAAAATTTAAGCAACTCATCCTGTGAAAATTTAAAAAAATATTGTGTTTTAAAAAAAGTGACAGTACCAGTTGACATACTCTTAACGTAATATGCCATGGTTCATCTTAAAGGAGATTCATTGTCTTCGCCACTGTTTGGTTTCTGGTTTTGTGTTTGGGGCCACCGTTGGCAGTGCTCAGGGCTTACCCCTGACTCCGCACTCAGGAATCACTCCTGGCGGGGCTTGGGGGACCATAGGGGATGGCAAGGATTGAACCCAGGTTGGCTGGATGAAAGGCAAGCCTTCCCTGCCCCCCCCCCCCCCAACCCCTGTACTATCTCTCTGGCCCATTGCCACTGTTTTCATGGGCTTTCAAGCTCCTTAAAGAGAAGAGTTCCTCCTTGCTTCTCTTTCTAAAAGGATCCCTTCCCCCGACCCCCCACTCAGTACTTCCTTTTTCGTGTGTGAGGCATCACACATTCAAAAACTTTGGACTACACTCTAAAGCATAAATGTGTGAACGTGCAGGGTGTGGTGGGATGTGGGCGGATGATAGAGATAAGACCATGCACCAGCTGACATCTGTGATGTATGTGGGGCAGTGTATGTTCCTGGGATTCCTGTGTTTACTTCCCTGGGAGTCTGCCTCTGAAATATATCAGCCTCCCATTCATGTTAGACTTGGATCCAGCCGTGTGGCTTTGAATCCTGGCCCGAATCGTGCTGTCTGCTGCCGAGTGGGTTCCTTCTTTGTATGAAGGAGGGATACTTTCTTCAGATGATCGCGGTGGTGCTGAGCAGATAGAGGTCCGGCACAAAACTCCCCAGCAGCTGTCTGATCTTTCCTGTTGTGGCATCGTTGTAGAAGGGAGAAGTTTTAAAATATCTCTTTTCCACTGTGGGGCAGGCATGACTTTAGGAAGTGGCTAGATGGTAGCGACTTAATATCTGTTTCTCAATTTAAGTTGCCACATGGGACCAACTCCTAACACATTGCCTGACTCACTGTGACACTCAAGAAATCTATAGAAATAGCACATGAATGAATCAGTGAACCACGTGATTCTCTCAGGGCGGTGCAAATACCCAGGTCTGTTCTGATCCACAGTGGCTCAGTTAATTCTATGCATGATAGCACCAATCAGTACTTATTAGTGCAGCCTTCCTCTTTGATTATTGATATTCTGAGCAGCTAGTTTTATAAGAGAAGCTTGCCGTGAGCCATAATATTTGAGTAGTCATAATACTGCATGTCTTAACCTAGTATGTCTTTAATCATGAACTATTTCATTAACCCCTTGCATATACACCCAGTAACATTCCCCTGTTTTGATTGTCTTTTTTATCGTCCCCCCTCCCCCACTGTATTTTAGGTCTCATTGTCCATGAAGGAGCTGCAGTTTACAGAGTGTTTAAGCGTTGGCGTGCAGTTAATTTACACTGGGATGTCCAAAATTATGACAAAGCCACAGATATCGAAGAAAGTAGCCGGGGAGAGTCTTCCACAAGTCGGACTTTATGGTTGCCATTGTCAGCTCTGAGGAATAGGAACTTGGTCCACCCCACGCAGTTAAGCTCCCCGAGGTTCCAGTGCGGGTATGTGCTGTTGCATCTGTTCAATCGGATGAGGACCCATGAAGACTTGTCGGAAGACAACAGCTCGGGAGAAGTGGTCATGAGAGTGACTTCTGTGTAAGGAACCATGGGACAGCCACCCACCCTACACACGTTGGAATGTAATTGCAATGAATGGCGGAACCATTAGCGCTTCGGAAAAACATACACACACATCGATGAACTTTTTAAAATTTATGCTTTTTATATGAACACTCGAATTGCAAATACACTTTTCTGAAGAAAAGAGTCCTCTTGTTCTTTGCTTTCGGGTTTATCATATCTTTTATAAGTTGATACTTGAAATCATTATCCCTATCATTTCACTCGCCTTCGTTAAAAAAAAAACTATCCTTAAGGCCCAAACTATTTTTTTCTTGCTTGTTTTAAATATATTTTGATCAAACTTTTTGTTCCCTGTGTAGTTTTTGAGACATTCTGGAAAAGGAATGGGGAGAGAATTTAGAAGCTTGTGCGACAGACCCTCACGTGCCCAGGTACTAAATTCTCCACCTGCCTTCACCCTCATGCTAGCAAACTTGACTGTAATTTTTTTCTTTCTGGAATGAAAGAAATCTGTCACCAGAAGTGATGGCCTGTTTTCTCACTTGTAAACCAGTGAGAAATCTTTTGCAAAGACCAAGATTATTTGCAATAGTGGAATTGTTGTACTCCCATCCATAATATAAGATGGCCTCCTGCACGCCACAACCACAAACGCTCTCCGAAGGATTGTGTCTTTGCACAATTCTGCCTTGCACTTGTAGAGACCTGTCGCGATTCTTTGGGTTAATTGTCGGTGCCTTCATGTCAATGAGCCCCTTCTTAATTCCATTTCTGCTTCATAGAAGCTTCTGTACCTACTTAATCATTTCAGCACTGATCCTGTTACTTGGTTTAATGAAGTCTTGGAAAATGCATTCCCCAGCAGTGAGGAGTGTGTCTCTTTCACAGCATAAGTTGTTTTTAAATGAAAAGAGGGAAAGAAAAATGAGGCTCTTGACTCTCCAGGAATAGGTTGCTAAGTGGTGGCACCTGGGGATTTTCCAACATTTTTATCCTCTTAACAGAGGTGATGAGCACATTTTAATGGGCAATGAGAAAAGATAAGGAAACAAGCTTACTTATAAACATGGGTTGAGCATGGAAGCTAAAGATGGTCATATTTAAGTCTCTGACCCCCCATGCCTATTTTCTTACAAACAACCTTTGCATGATTAACAGTAGAATATGTCTACACATCGGTAGCAGATTCTGTCAATACTTGAAGTAATATTTTCCCATTTGAGAAACTGTCACAAATGAATTGAGAATGTAACAATTTGCAGAAACTTGAACAGTGAATCAGAAAACCAGGAAGGAAGGGAAAGACAACCACTGTTAAACAGGGGCCGATCAACAAGTGACAGCGTAAAACTTCCCTAGTCATGATTAGCTGGTTTGGATCTCACATTATACATTCTGAGCCCTAGGAGAACTGCCCAAAGGTTGACATAGGTCCTATCTCAGTCATGCTCCCTGGGATAGGAGCAAAGTATTAAATAGAAACACCTGGCATGCAAATCGCCTCTCAAGAGACCTATCATTATGTGTGCCTCACAGGTGCTGAGCCTTGCCTTGGAAGGTATAGTCCCTTAGAGGGTAAAGAGCCACAATTGATGGAATAATATCGTGGGTACTGGTGTTTAAGCCATTGTGCTAAAAATATAGGATAAGAACACTTTATTCAGAGACAAGAGGCTTCTGCTCAAGTATTTAGCAGGACCTGGCCTCCTAATTACTGCACACTTTTGCTTTTATGTCAACTCATGAGAACCAAGAATGAATGAGAATCGCCTCTCTAACTCCTGTGTGTGTGTGGCGGAGAGGGGGTGTGAGGGGTGGGTTGAGGTGGGGGAGGCATTCCTGGCAAACGTGGCTGGTCAACTGGAAGGAAAACATACCCCTAGGTACTCATTTCCACCTTCGACCTTGGGATCGAAGCTTCTGTCTCTACATAGCCTTCACTGTCTTCTAGTTCACCTACAAAAATGCTCATGTCCACAGAGGACCCAACTCAAGCCTGGAATAAAAACCTGCAGAGATTCCATTGAACCAAATGTACCATCCGTGAAATATATGCAAAGCAGCTCAGCAAAGGCACACTTGGGTGGGAGGGGGGTAGGTGAAGAGAACTTAATTCACTGCTGAAACAGTAATTAAGACTCTAATATGCAATATGAGTAGTGGTATAAACAATTATCTTTCAATTGTGAATACTGTAATTCAAACTTGGGTTGCCTTAAATTTCAGAGATACGGAAAGGAAAGAACTTGGAATTATTTAAAGTAATTATTTTCTCTTATCTTCTCCTCTTCTCTTTCTTTCTCTCTTCCTTCCTTCATTCCTTTCTATTTTACATTTATTATTAAAACTTAGGCCCCTGTGTGGCCTCTTTTCACCTTTGAGTTTTGAGGTGCCAATGTTTATGAAGCACCATTCTGGACAGTGGGACAACCCACATTCTCAGGGAGATTTGGGGGATGTCTTGGAGCTCATCTTATGTCTTATGCTCATCTTATGGATACGGGTGAGCAAAACATTGGTAGGATGTCACGTTGGTCAGTATGCCCCAGGACAATTAGAGACGGTGTCACCAAGAAGTTGACAGGATTTGGGTTCTGCAACATGCAGTTTTCCAGTTGAGGAGAGGAGCATTCTGGGAAATGCTTGGGCTCAGCAAAAGATGTGTTCTACCACATTGAAGATTTCACCCGGGAGGGCATCACCCATCCCAAAGGACTGGTGAGTAGCTGGTACCTAGTCACTCACAATATCTCACACTCATAACCCTCAACTACAAAATGGTGATCTTGTTGGTGAGCTCTTTCCTCATCCTCGCATTCCTGATTTACACTTCCCATTCTCAAGGTTGAGAATCAAATGAAGGCAATAGAAATGTGTCACAGGAGTCTGGAGAAATCCTACCGAGTGAAATAGTAAGTACTCACTCAGGTACCGTTGCTGGAGATAGGATGGAGCATCTGGACTTCCAGTAGACATGCTTCTTCTCTTCCCTCTTCCAGGAAAGAGATGAGCCCTCAGATCCAAGGAGGAAAATACATCACAGATATGTGAAGTAGAGGCCACTTCTCCATCTTTCAAAATGCCCCAAACACATTCCAGCATAAATAAACTTATCAGTGTTCCCTATACACTGGGAAAAAAATCATTAGCTTTGGGTCTGGAGAGCAAATACAGCTTGTAGGGGTCTTGCCTTGCACCGGGCTGACATGAGTTTGATCTCTGGCACCCCCAGAGCTACTACAGGAGTGAGCCCAGAGCCAGGTGTAAGCACTGAACAAAGCTGGGTGTGGGTCCTCAGAAAATAATTAGAAAAAAAAGAAAAATCATGCTAGTCTTATTTGACTGTTTTTGTGTTTGGGGCTTCCCATGAGGTACTCAGGGGGTCCAAGAGTCCTTCCAAGTCTATCATGGCTATTACAGTCAAAGGATCATGTTAGGGCCTGAGAATATGGTGCTGTTTGGGCCCTGCTGTGCCAGGGATTAATCTGGGATCTCCTAGGGTGTTGGGGGCCTTCAGAGACGGACATTCGAGGTGGTGTTCAGGGAACCTTGCAGTGCATTCAAAGCATGTGTCTAACTCTGGGCTATTTCTCCATCCCTATCCTCCTCCCAAATTGTTACTGCTTCTGCTTTATTGACTAAAGTTAGATTCAAGCAAGCAAGATGACTCTTGCTTCTATTTGAGTCTGGATCTTCTGCCTTCGGATCTTTTATTCCCTTTGCAGTTTTGATACCACTGACTATTTGTAATGATAGGTTAGTAGTGTGTGAGAGAGCAGAGTTAGCTTCTTCTGGATAACCCAGATAACTTGACATTGCGTGGTTTCTGTGTCATTTTAAGCAGTGGCCATGCTTCTGTGACTGAATTCAAGGTCCAGTTGCTTGTAGTTTGAGGAGCAGTACTCAAGAGAAAAGAAAAGGGCTACTGACAGAAAAACATGTTGGTTCTGGTGCTAGGAATCTCAGATGATGGTGGACTTCTTGCTCTCCCAAACCAGCTGACTCTTAGATCAGACTGGGTTGTGGGTTTATGATGGACTAGTGGAAGAATTAGGCAAATACAGAAAAGCGTAGTGGGTAGATTGGGTCATGCAACACCCTGCCAGATGATCTTATTCAGACCCACTAAGCTCTTTGTAAAACTTTTTTTTTGGGGGGGGTGGATTTTTGCAACACCTGGCTCTGCGCTCAGGATTTACTCTTGGTGGTGCTCTGGGGACCATATGGGATTGAACCCCAGTCAGTCTCATGTAAGGTGTAAGGTAAATGTGCAACCTGCTGTACTATCACTCTGCCTCTCTCTGTAAAACTTTAGATCACATAGGTCATATCTGTGTGGCTTCATCAATCTGGGTGCCATCATCAGGGATAGGACACCTCATCTGTTTCCTCTAGTCCATGGTTGGCTCCAATTTTAACACTAAATGCCATTCATAAAAATATTTCTTCATATCAGGGAAAAGGAGAAGAAAGAAATGAGAAAGGTCTAAAATTCTATGACAAGATGGGGTTTCCAGTACCTGCTCACACTTTGCATAAATTCCTCAATATTTTCTTAACGGCAACAATTTACAAATTGCTGCTCTGATCTTCAAGAATCTTTCTTTACTTCTCTCTCTTTATCCCTCCCTCCTTCCCTCCCTTCCTCCCTCTCTCCCTCCCTCCCTCCCTTCCTTCCTTCCTTCCTTCCTTCCTTCCTTCCTTCCTTCCTTCCTTCCTTCCTTCCTTCCTTCCTTCCTCCCTCACAAGAAAGGTAGACTCGACCACAAAGCTATATCCCAGTTCCAAAATACCTGAGTATTTTTTTATCAAAATTACTGACAAATTTTATTGTTTTGATTTTAATTTTTGACATCTGTATATGAGTATGGACTGGAGCGATAGAACAGCGGGTTTATGTTTGCCTTGCACACGGTCAACCCCAGTTCGATTCCTTTGTCTCTCTCGGAAATCCCAGCAAGCTACCAAGAGTATCCCGCCCACATGGCAGAGCCTGGCAACTTCCCCATGGCGTATTCGATATACCAAAAACAGTAACAAGTCTCACAATGGAGACGTTACTGGTGCCCACTCGAGCAAATCGATGAACAACGGGACTACAGTGTTTCACTGCTGAGTGAAGCTTTTACCCTACATTAATGAAACCTGATCCCTGGTATGATTAAAAAAATAAACACTGGATTCCTATATATTAAGTGGTTAAAGACCTTAAGAAGATAATTTAGACAATTAGTTCAACCCCAATTTACCTATTCAGAAAAAATACTCCCATTGTGG